CACGGCAAAGTTCAGGCTCCCGCACAGCCGTTCGAACAACCAATGTGTGACCCGGGTGCCCTCCAAACACGGTCGTAGGCGGGACCCAGTCACAACAGCGTCGCAGAAGGGAGAGACAAGGAAGCAGTCTGAGAGTCCCACACAAGACCCAGCCAAGTCCGAACCCGAGAGGGAACCAAATGGGACTTCCTCCAGTTCACCAAGAACCTAAACCCGGCAACCTGGGAAAAATCCAAATCCCTGGCAAGCTGACACACGAACTGGCTGGGAACCCACACCAGCCAGTCGTCGAAGTAAGCCAGAACCCGAACCCCTAACAGACACAAACGGGTAACCACGACCTGGGTAAAGCGTGTGAACACGCGAGGTGCCACATTCAAACCGAATGGAAGGCAACGAAAGCGGTAAGCTTGTCGCCCCACAACAAAGCCTAGCCAGGCCCTGAACCCCGGATGAATCGGGTTGTGCCAATACGCGTCCCGGAGGTCCAGAGACACCATCCAGGCACCCGACGCCAAAAGCAGCCAGACCTGAGACAGAGTGGTCATCCGAAAGGAGGGGGCAAGAAACCCAGGGATTCAGACAAGACAAGTCCAGTATGAATCGCAGATCCGCACAGTCCCATTTAGGAACTGAAAACAGGCGAGAAACCCACCTGAGGGATGTTGTCATTTCAACCATGCCTAAGTGAACCCACTCCAGGATGACCCGACAGAGCACAGGAGAAGAGGCCTGCCCTGCCAGCACCGACCCCCCCACCCCCCTTAGGAGGAAGAGCGACCTATGACCACCACTGCCTTCCTCCCCCCCCCCCCCCCCGTCCAACCACTTGGGCTGAACGGTAGAGCGACGGTCTCGCTTCATGCAGGTCGGTGTTCAATCCCCGACTGTCCAATTGGTTGGGCACCATTCCTTCCCCCTGTCCCATCCCAAATCCTTATCCTGACCCCCTTCCCAGCGCTCTATAGTCGTAATGACTTGGCTCTCTCTCCTGATCATTCCCTCCCCCCCCCCAAGAACCAACCAGTCCAAAATAGGCCGTCAACTAGACGAAGCTGTCTGCAGAAAATGCACCACCGCAGACTCTGCAAACAGCAACAGACAAAAAGGGGACGAAAATCTAAGAGCCAGGGCCCAAGCCGATTCCACGGAGTGGACAAGCACCGCCTGACGACACACAAGGCGATAAGCAAAGTACAGAGACACCGCCTCCCTCAGGATCGGCACAAACAACTTTAACAAGGCAGCCAACATCCGAGCTGCCAAAGCAAACACACTGGACACTGGCCCAGATTCCAGTTCCTGCACATCCTTGCTGAGCCATTCCGAAGACAGCTCCAGCAGAGAAGAGAAACGCAAGACCAAAGCCAAATGTCCACAGGCGCACAAATCCTCGGACACCAGGGACGCTGAAAGGGAGGGAACCTGCGCGTGAAGCTGCGCCTGATCGACATCACGAGGAAGTGCGGGGGTGAACAAGCACGCATTGAGGTGCTCAAATTCGCCCCCTAGGTAAACCTGAACAACCGTAGTCAACTCCCGCCATTCAAGCACACGGGTCCAACAGAACGAATGCCACACCCGCAACGAAAAGAAAGAGCAGTCCGCCAACCAGGAAGACTCGGGCACCTCGCAATGCACCCAGAAAGGAAACATGGAGCCAAACTGGAAAGGAGGAGGATCCATTACCGAGGCGTAATCCGGGTCTCGCAAGAGGTAAGCCGCAAGGGCTTCCCGCATCACATCAAGCCGAAAACCTCTGGAAGGAGGGAACCGAAGAACCCAAGGCTGAGGTTCTCGGCTGAGGACATTGAAAAACTTCAAGCTGATATTAATAAAGTTTTCGACTGGGCATCAGAAAATAACATGATGTTAAACAGTGATAAATTCCAGGTACTCAGGTACGGTAAAAATGAGGACCTTAAACATAATACAGAGTACAAAACACAATCAAATGTACCCATAGTAGGAAAACAGCATGTAAAGGATTTGGGAATAATAATGTCTGACGACCTAACGTTTAAGGAGCATAACCAAGCAAATATTGCGACAGCCAGAAAAATGATAGGATGGATTACGAGAACTTTCAAATCCAGGGATCCCATCACAATGGTTGTACTCTTCAAGTCACTTGTGTTGTCCCGTCTTGAGTACTGCTCAGTACTCACTTCCCCCTTCAGAGCAGGAGAGATTGCTGAAATAGAGGGAATACAGAGAACATATACGGCACGCATAGATGCAATAAAGCACCTAAATTATTGGGATCGTCTCAAAGCCCTCCAAATGTACTCACTAGAAAGAAGACGAGAGAGATATCAAATAATATACACCTGGAAGATACTGGAGGGCCAAGTACCAAATCTACACAGTAAAATAACAACGTACTGGAGTGAACGACATGGAAGAAAATGTAGAATAGAACCAATGAAGAGCAGAGGTGCCATAGGCACAATCAGAGAACACTGTATAAACATCAGAGGTCCGCTGTTGTTCAACGTCCTCCCAGCAAGCATAAGAAATATTGCCGGAACAACCGTGGACATTTTCAAGAGGAAACTAGATTTATTCCTCCAAGGAGTGCCGGACCAACCGGGCTGTGGTGGGTATGTGGGCCTGCGGGCCGCTCCAAGCAACAGCCTGGTGGACCAAACTCTCACAAGTCGAGCCTGGCCTCGGGCCGGGCTTGGGGAGTAGAAGAACTCCCAGAACCCCATCAACCAGGTATCAACCAGGTATCAAGGGAACCCGGAACCGAACCTGGGGAGGAGTCGCACACATATTAAACTCGTATAGGGTACGGGTATAGGAAAACCTATTCCCCGTAACAACAAGCCCTGCGTCAAGGGTACCAACACCCAAGCGGGGTCAAATGGGGCCCAAACCCCCAAGTAAACTCCCCAGTCCCAGGAACCTCCACATCAGGACCCGGGGCCGAGCAGTCCTCCAAGCCTCTGGAGAAAAAAGCAGAGTCCACCGGAAAAGCAGGATGAAGGGGGGCCACTAGCACGACCCAAAGGCTCCAGCAGGAGGAACAGGCTCGAATGCCTCTGCTGCCGATCCGGAAGGGCCAATCCCCAAAGCCGCCCAAGACTCACCACCAGGCAAACCCTGCCCCGACTCCGAAACCCTCAGACGTTTGGGAGCAGGATGAACCACAGCAGGGAAAGGACTAGGAGGTGCAGATGAAACCAAAGTCGAGGCAACTAACACCCACAAGTCCGGGTCCCTATAATCAAAGCAGGGCAGCTGCGGGGCATCCGGAAAGGCAAGCAACCTTGCGCGATGCAACAACCTAAACTGTGCATGCAACGCCAAAGCTGCTTGCACCCGAATATCAATCTCATTGGACTTGGTGAATTGGAGTACAAGCAAGGAACACCACTCATAGGACTCCGGGTCAAAAGTGTCATTTACCCAATAAGCAGCATGGCGGAGGCAAAAACGGTGAGTGCCATCCTGAGTCAAGAGGACAGAGCAACCTTCAAACTCGCACAAGGTGAGGTGAGACTCTGAGGTCTCTTCCATTGGACCATTGAGCCCCAATGGGGGTTTCCAGAGCCCTTAGGCTGACTGCTAAGGGAAGCCCAGGTGAGGTACTGCTAACCGGTTATCCCAGAGCTACCAAGCAAACAAACTAAATGCTGAACCCCTGCGATGTGTGCAAGCACGGGGACCTAGTGGAGGGCCACCAAAATCCTACAAGTGGTCCTACCACCACACCAGGCAGACCCCCCTTGCCAGGCAAAACAAAAAAACAAAAGAAAAACCCTGCAGAAGCACAATCTCTCCAGGTGAACAGAACCGGTCGCTATGCATATCACACAGCTGCACAGTACCTCGCACCCCAGCCAGCAATGAAACTACCTCCTAGTTTCCAAGGGCAAACATAAGTAAGAACTACACCAGCTGAACCCCAAAGGCGGGCAATCACTGAGCAGCGACAGAACCACTCGGAGGTAGTTCCTGAATGGCTCAGGGAAGATAACCCTGAAGCCGCAAGGGCAGTGCTTACAGGGCACCTAGGGAAGGTGGCCCTAGGTGCATGCAGCCCCAGTACTCTTGTGTTACTCCTGGCTCACACACCACCAAATCAAGAGCAACAACACCACTAAGCAGCACTGCGCAAAGAATGGAGCCAGAGCGATCAACCATTCGCCCTCACAACAGCCTGTGAACTGAGGAAAGTTGCAGGTCTGGGACCCCCACAAAGACTGTTTCCAATTACACAGGGGTGTCTTTAGGCCATTGCTCCTTGTGCATCTCTTGAGGGGGCCAGGTTCTGGCTCTGGTCCCCGGTAGGTCCAGAAATCCTTCGATTGACTGTTGCCATGGTCTAATATATACACATCAGCCCGGTATAGCTCCGGGGAGCCGAAGGGGCTCTCCACAGAAATGTGGCTTGACATAGCACTTCAATCTTTAATATGCTATACATTAAAATTTTAAATGAATTAGAAGCTACCAACATCAATACCGTGATCATCATTCTCTCCTCTAGACCCTGATTTAGCAGATCCTGGCCAACCTCTCACAGTCTTCAAAGAGAGTACTTGATTAAACACCTTCAAAGGATACCTGATCAACCACAAGGGCTGTGACTCGTACGTAAGGGTGCAAGTAGCGACGTCAAACACCCTGGTTAACCAGACCAGGTCAGAGACCGTGCTGCGAGGATGTCGATCCTTTCAACCATGGACATGTATTCTACTGCCAGGTATTAACAATGTTTATAAAAATGTCCAGGAGAAATGAGAAAATAATGAGAAATTAATAACCTTAATGAGAAACAAGCCTTCCTTGTTTCTCATTAAAGTTATTAAAAGTCTGAGACATGATAATCAATGTAACTAAAAAAATAAGATGGAATGGAAACGATAGATAGGAAAGATGTCCAGGTTTGCCATGAATGATGCATTGTAGTTTATGCATTTGAGGAAAGGAGAAGAATTATATCAACTTTGTTTTCATAATACTCTAAGCAAAATCTAAAAATGACTAACCTTCCCAAAGAACACATAAAGCTCTCTTTCTATCTCTTCTGCAAGAACCTTTATGTCATCTTCATTAAGGTCATCAAACTCATTTTTAGCATCGTGGAAGCGCTTGATAAGACAATCTGAGAGGGTCTTCTTAATGTTGTTTCTAACTTCATTTGGGTCAGGCTTCTTCTTTTCTACAGATGCTGGTTTATTCTGTATCTGAAAATTTAAATACCAAAATATTATTGCAGTTTCATATAAATTTAATGCTGAGGTAATTTTTAAAAAAAGGTTGAATTAAATACAATGCCAATTTAGAAAGTAACTTCACAAAACTCGTGTCGAGAATAAACAAAACTTTTTTTATCGAGATACATTCTAAACGTCAATATTTATAGCCAACTTTCAGTTAAGAAAATAATAAAATGTTCAACAATAACTATTTAAGACAGCCAAAAATGTTTATATGGTGTTAGCATTGTATAACTGAATGGCTACATCAATGGCAAGGAAACACTTTCATTCCATATTCACCAATTAGAAAATAATAAACATAGTGGAAATAAACTGGATATGATAAGTTGCCAAACTCTTGGACCAAGGATGTTTAACACTGTGGTTGTAGCGTTCAGGCTCAAAATGTAGTAGCCAAAATCATTTAAAAAATCTCAAATTCTGTATTACATTTAATGACTTTCTGGACAGTGGTGGTCAGGAGAGCCTTTCCGCTACTTCGGTTCACTTGCTAACAGGGAAAAAAAATTTGCATTCCACCATATGATTTTGAAATGCGAGGAATATTGTACAATATTGTATTGTACAGGAATATTGTAGAGGAATATTGTACATTGAAAAAGACGAATCAATAAAAAAAAAGGAAAACCCAACATAAAATAAAAGTACATCAAAACAAGCCACTGCTTGGTAGTTGATTCCCATTTTCCCATCACGACAGATCTCTCTTCAACACCACCTCCTAGTAGAAAGTTGCAATTTGACATACGGATACATTACCTAAGGCCAAAAACTGTCATACTAGAAAATGGTAGTGGCTCGCGAAATTGAGTCCCTTTTTTGTTTTGGGTCCTCTGGAAGGTTAGAATAAGGGCACTGCAGTACGACTGCAATTGCAATGCAGTTTCATGATGTTGGGAAACCTTAGGCTGCTCTGTTTCCCATGGAATACAAAGGAATGGTGATGTGCCCAAATACTACCTGATAACCCAGGATCTTTTCTAGCCAACCACCTCATTCAGTCACCTGGTGCAGCCAGGGTGTGAGTATTTGAAGGTGACATAATTTCTGATTTTTGGCAATACCACATAGGGTGACATTTAGATCATGTCACCAACAGATAGCAACGTTTACGGCCAAGGACAATGGCCAAGGTGCCTCTTGAAGATCAGAGGATTCTGACAAAGATTACATGGTTCACATAAATTGGTATTTGTGAATATACTAACAGCATAACAAAGGTGTGATAAAAAGCCCATTCAAGCAAATTTAAGAAAATACTCCATCCAGCAGCCTACATGAAGAGGTGACATGATCACCACTTACAAAATACAGTACTAACAGTAATCGACCAAATTGACAAAGAGGAATTCCTGAAACCAGTAACTCCAAGAACAAGAGGACAAAGACTCAAGCTAAGGAAACAAAGGTGCTGAAAAATTATTAGAAAGTAGTCTTTTACAAACAGAGTGGTAGACGGTTGGAACAAGTTAAGCGAGAAGGTGGTGGAGGCCAAAACCATCTGTAGTTTCAAAGCATTATATGACAACAAAGTACTGGGAAGACAAGACACCACGAGTGTAGCTCTCATCCTGAACTACACTTGGGTAATTACTTGTCACCCATCAAAAACCAGCAGTTCATAAACTCTCTAGCAAACATTGTTCTAAAAGCTCCTCAGGCCACTTTAAAACAAACAACACATCCAGTAGAACAAAATCTTGGAATACATTATTTATGACTGTTGTAATATTTTTGTATCACATGTTCCTGCTTGATACCTACTTGATGGGATTCTTGGATTTCTTCTACTCCCCAAGCCTGGCCCAAGGCCAGGCTCAACTTTTGAGAGCTTGGTTCAACAGGCTGTTGCTTGGAGCGGCCTGCAGGCCCATGTATCCACCACAGCCCTGTTTGTCCACCACTTCTTGAAGAAAATTATCTAGTTTTCTCTTGAAGATGTCCACAGTTGTTCTGGCAATATTTCTGATACTCGCTGGGAGGATGTTGAACAACTGTGGACCTCTGATGTTTATACAGTGTTCTCTGATTGTGCCTATAGCACCTCTGCTCTTCACTGGATCTATTCTGCATTTACTTCCATATCGTTCACTCCAGTATGTTGTTATTTTACTGTGTAGATTTGGGACCTGGCCCTCCAGTATTTTCCACGTGTATATTATTTGATCTCTCTCTCGGCTCCTTTCTAGTGAGTACATTTGGAGAGCTTTGAGATGATCCCAATAATTTAGGTGCTTTATCGCATCTATGTATGTCGTATATGTTCTTTGTATTCCCTATATTTCAGCAAGCTCTCCTGCTCTGAAGGGGTTATCTTGAGATGATTTCGGGGCTTTAGTGTCCCCGCAGCGCGGTCCTTGACCAGGCCTCCACCCCCAGGAAGCAGGCCGTGACAGGTGACTAACTCCCATGTACCTATCAACTGCTAGGAAACAGGGGCATCAGGGTGAAAGAAACTCTGCCCATCAGTTCTCGCCGGCGCCCGGGATCGAACCTGGGTCCACAAGATCACGCGTCTAGTGTTCTGTCCGCTCAGTCACCGGCTCCCCGTGGTGAGCGAGTACTGAGCAGTAGTCAAGACAGGAGAGTATTTGAATAGTGATTTGAATAGTACAACCATTGTGATGGGACCCCTGGATTCGAATGTTCTCATAATCCATCCTATCATTTTTCAGACTGATGCAATATTTGCTTGGTAATGGTCCATAAACGTTAGGTCGTCAGACATCATTATTTCCAAATCCAAATTTGTTATAATCCACAAGTTAGGAGTAAGTATTAGCTAGTGAATCAAGCACAACAACACTTAACAAATGATGGTTGAAAGAAGTGGTGGTAGTACATGTGAGTAATCAGACTGTGGTCACACATCGAGGTAAGGTCAAAGAGATTAAGACAGCCCGAGCCCACCCAAGCCAATGTTACAGCCAAGAGGTCACAAAGGGTGATCCAAAGTTCTTGGAAACAAGATTTAAATTTAATCTGATTATAACGTCCTTGGGATGCTAGGTGTGGAGGTGAAGGTTGTGACCGGCTGGAGGGCAGTCTTGGGGAAGGTGCGGTTCTATTAAGTATTCCTCTATATCTGCCTGTGGCAGCGACGAAGGGAAACCAACCAAATGTGGGGGACCCAATGTGACCTTGTTGACCTGCATCGAGTCTGCAGTGTGAGTATTGTATGGGAGACTAACCGGGTGGAGAGGGTTGTAGTGATGATTCGGAGATAGGGACTTAGGCTGAGGTTATGAGTTTAGGCGGTGAAAGGTAGGTCCAGTGTGTTTATTGGTAAGGGTAGCCTTACCCATAAACAAACAAACCAACCTTTATGACATTTTTATTTTTTCAAATTTGTTCAATTTTTTTTTTATTTTTTATTTTTTTTAAGAAAATGGAGCAGCCTACCTGACATACACTGAACAAACCTTAATGACATTTTTTCTTTCTTTTTGAAATTTGTTCATTTTTTTTAGTTTTTCATTTTTAATAGAAAAACATTCGTTCTATGTATATCAGGTAGACTGCTCCATTTTGTATAAAAAAAAATAAAAAAAAATAAAATTGAGCATATTTAAAAAAAAAAAAGATTAAATGTCATAAAGGTTCGTTCAGTGTTTGTCAGGTAGGATGCTCCATTATGACATTTTTCTGGGGGGAGCCCTGTCGGCTACCCGGAGCTTTCCCAGGCTGATATGCTAATGTCAGACTTTGGCATCAGTCATGTGTATGGAGTTCTTAGGCCTACCGGGGACCACGGCCAGAACCGGGCCCCCTCAGAGAGGCAAGGAGAGCAATGGCCTATAGAAGCCCCCATGTGGTTGGAAGCATTCTATGTCTGCCATCGACCAGAACAGGCACCCAGAAAGGTAAGCGCCTCAAAACAAACCCCTATTCTGGTTAAAATTGCTACCAAAAGCCAAACTAGTGGATAGAACTCCCCAACAGAAAACAAGCAAACTAGTGTGATGTCACACGTCGCCGCGCCGCTGTCTGCGCAGCTTCCCCCTCCCCGGGAGGGGGAAGGGGGACCCCCAGACCCTCCACGCCGACTACCCACACCTCAGTTCTTGAGGCTGATGCTTATAAGTGATGGTCGTGTGCTCTGGCTCCGGTGTCGCTACAGCACTGTGCTGTGTGTGTGGTGTTTGTGTTTGTGGGTGCGAGAGCCAGGAGTTATCTTCAGTACTCGGGCTGCATGCGCCTAGGGCTTCCTTCCCTAGGTGCCCTGTAAGTACTGCCCTTGGGGTTTGGGGCCCACCTTCCACAGGCTCCTCGGGGTCTGCCTCTGCTGGTCTGTTTTACCTTTTCGGTTTTTCAGCCGCCAATTGGGCTCTTGGGTGTTCTGTTCTCCCTTGTTACCGGCAGGTTAGAGGCAGTTTGCACTGGTAGGAGCACAGGGTGCTGCACAGCTTGTATTCCCGACATAGCGGCCGGCTCTGTTCCTTGGGGTTCGCTGTCCTCTTGCGGGGTTTTGTTTTTCGTTTTGTTTTTGCCTGGTGGGGGGTTCTGCCCTATTATTCCACTGGTTTTTGTCCTTCCACGGTTCTCCTCGGTGGCGCCCCCTGCTAGGTCGCCGTGAGTGTACACGTCCCTGAGGTACAGCTATAGAAGTTCGCTTGGTAGTTTTGGGCGCCGGTTAGCAGCACCCTGCCTGGGACTACCTGAGCACGAGTCCTCTTAAAGTAAACGCTCAGGACCCTGGGAATCCCCTAGAGGGCGCGTGGGTCCGATGGATGTGACCCCGGAGTCCCCGCTTGCTGAGTGCGAGTTTGAGGGTTGCTCGGTCCCCTTGTCTCAGGGTGACCATTGTTTTTGCCTCTGCCTGTTGGGTCGGTGATACTTTCGACCCCTGATTCCTGTGAGTGTTGCTGCTTGCTTGTGACTCAATTTACCCAATTCTCTGATGATTCTACTCGGGTACAGGCAGCGCGTGCGTTGCAGTCTAGGTTTCGTCTGTTGCAACGTGC